AGTCTAACAGACTGATTGCAAAGTAGGAGAGTCAAATGAAAAATGGCAGAACTTATAGAGGCAGAAAGGGTAGGTAAGTAATCTGGTTTTGGGGCTAGCATGATGATTAGCATTTTCTTGACAGTGTCTCTGCATTCCAGAAGCAGCTCTGCACTTAGCAATTCTTGAGTCTAGCAAGAACTTCATGTTTTTTCTTTTGGGACACAGATGGCCTTGCTGCTTCAAGTTTAGATTGCTGTGGACAATGAACAAGGAGGCTGCAAGAAGAAGGAAAATGTTGTGCTGAACACAGCAGTTCAGTCTTTCTGGAAGTTTAAAATACTGATGCAATCACCTGCTGATTTCTCTACCATTATTCAACAGTTTCATTTATTAAAATAAAATGTATTAGGACTACTTCTATGGGGAATGAGGCATGGGACATTGGTAAGCAGAATGAACATATTTTCATGTCACTATTCACCTGTTTCAGGCACCTTCAGAACATTTTACACATCCTACAGGGTTTTCTAGGTGTCTCAAGAGAAGGTGAAAATGCAGTAGAGACAAAAGAAGGTCATAAGTCTGAAAGGGAGGCCATAAAGCACATTTTGCTCAGAGTAAGAAACCAAATTATTTCATAAAATACAGCAGAGCTGATTAGGTAAATTTCCTGGGTCTTCAGAAAGAAAAAAATAAAATCAAAAATCCTGTACTCCTGCCCTTGGTGAATATATTAAATAAGAAAAACAGGCAAAGATTATTGATTTAGTCTGGTCATAGCAATGTTTTGTTCAGCCTCTCCCAAAGAAGGAAATATGAACATATAAAAGCCCAGCTATACTATACAATAAGGTAATGTTTTACCTCCAGACTTCCCGAGTGGGCAGCACACTGCAAGGGTGTGAATTTGTGAACTACATCCACTTCATTAATACTGGCTCCATTTTTTATCATCGATGCAAGCTGTTCTACATCACCAGCTTTCACTGCTTCATGCACACTAGTGTAATTTTGCTTCTTCTTGACAACTAGTGAGGAGTAATAAAAGGGCATTAGTCCACTGCTTAAATCAGCAACATTTAAGAGACAGAGAATGTGTGATGAATCAAAAAAATATCAGAGTTGACATTCATGGCACAGAATCAAACTCTAAATGTAGAAGCAGTAGGATGAAAGAAAAAAAAAAATCTTTGTCACCAAGCCATGGTATCAAATGACATGGGTTCTCCCTTCAGGCCTTTCCACTGATTAACTACATGACTGGAAACAATGAGAATTACATATCCAAACTCCTTGCAACATCTTGATACCTTGACAACACTTGTAAACAGAAATATGAGATGTAAGTAGATCTAATGGCTAAGGGGGCTGACTTCAGATAGCCAAAAATGAAAGGAACCTAAACCAATTAGTATTCACCTTCTGCAGTAGTCATCATCCCAGTACCAAAATGCACCAACACTCTGATTACATTTCACACTGCTGGAAGTCCTGAAGAATTGGGCTACTGTTTAGCAAGTCAAGAAAGCATAAAACTGAAGGTATCAAGGTATTAGTGCCTCAGCTTCTCTGCCTATGGAGAAGAAATAGTAGTAGCAGTTAACACGGTTACACAATTTGAGTAAAAAAATATTAAAGAATATAAAAGAGATATTGCACAGGCGTGTTTGTCATATTTGTAAAAAGTCACTAGATATAATTAAAAACATCCTCTGCAGTTTATCAGTGCCTATTTTCATGTAATCTGTAGTATGATAGTAGAGCTCGGGTAGATTTTGGGGTGCTACAGAGAGGGGGGGGAGTGGAGCTCCAGCACTCCAGTCTGACAGCAACACACCCTGTGCGTGCTGTAACACACCCCTGGGTCCTGTGTCTCACCCCACCTCCACCTCCCCAGCTTGGCAGGCTGCATCACTGCCCTGCACAAAGCTGAGAAAACTTCAAAACCAGGATTCCATCCTTCAAAACACTGTACAAACAAACAGCAGCAGCAGCACAGAAACACAGAAAAATTCTGGCAGGAAGGGGCCTCAAGAGGTCATCTAGTTCATGTTTGAGTTGTTTAGGTTATTTTGAAGAACAGTTTCACCATGACATAATTTTCCCCCAAGGAAGAAATTGCTCATTATACCAAGTGAGGGTTACAGACTTCAGCTGAATGACACATCACAGGCAGGCCTGGCTGATTACACTGCTCGGCAAACTTCTCATGTTTAACACAATGTTTCAGTACAGCAAGTTCAAGGCAACTTTTTTTTTTTTTTCCCTTAACCCAGAAGGAAAGCAAACAAGGCCCACCAGCAGAAAGAATTTTGTCTCCCCTCTCCCCCTGGATACCTACTACTGCACGAAGACAAACGCCAAGGGCGGGTGGCTGCACTGGCTTCTTGGCACAAGACAAAGGTGGCAGCCTGGGACTGAAGCTCAGAAAAAAACTGTTAACATCAATTCTGTAAGAAGACACATTGATGTTGAAAGCGAAGGCCAGGCTCCACAATTCTAGTGCAATTTTTTTTTTTTTTTTTAACCAAAAACTGTTATCAAACACTCGTTCAATGTTCTGGGAGAAAACTTTGCAGAAAGAATTCAGTAAGCACTTTGAGATCGGTACCGGCCGAAAATCCAGTTAAAGAGATTAAGTGAAGGGCATGGCTCGGAATAGGGAAAGGCACAATTCAGGTGTTGCGATGTTTCCGTAACACACAAACCCAATCCCCCGGAGCTCGGCTTTGTCAGCGCCAGCGCCGCGGGAGCCGCCGGCCCGACCCGGCCCGACCCGGCCGGTCCCGCCCGGGCGGAGGCGGAGCTGCCAGGCCCGGGGCAGGGGGAGGGCCCGGCCGCCCGGCGCCGAACACCGCCTTTCGCTGAGCTTTTGGTGGCTATGGAGCCTCCTCCTGCTGTGTATGCATCCCGGCGGAGCCCCGTGCCACAGACCCGGGGGCTCGGGAGAGCCCGTCCCGCCCCGCCCCACAGGGCCGGCCGCGGCGAGGGGCCGGGGGAAGGAGCAGGCGGAGGAGGGGCGGAGCGGTCTCACCGGCCGGAGCGGGGCACAGCCGCCCCTCGCAGCACAGGGGCCGGCAGCTCGCCGCGGTCGCCTGGAGCAGTTCCCTCCAGCTGCTGCTGCTCCCCGCCCCGGCGTTGCCATGGGCCCCGGGCTCGCCCTTCCCGCGGAGGAAAATGGCGGGTGGGGCGGGAGAGGCGCGGGCCCGGCCCTGCCGCTCGGGCTGCGCTGGAGCTGCTCGGGGCGTTCTGCACCTTCAGGCAGCCCGGGGCTACAGCCTCCCACGGGATCCCCACGGGAAATGTAACAGGTACCAATTCTCCTCTCGGAACCCCCCAGTGATGCTCTGAGCAAGAGGTATTAAACCAGCTTGTGCTTGGGATGATCGGACTCCGGTGAAGTTGTGGAAATCTTTAACCCGCATTTCTTTCCTGCTGTGACGCGATCCTGCTCCTCAATTCCCTTGGTCAAAACCAGCTGGTACCCTGGGGCTAAGCCGGGTTCCTTTGATTGGGAAAAAGAAGGACGCTGTATTTCCAGAATCCTGCTTCCAGGCAGAATGAACCCTTCCCAGTCAGATTTACAGGTGTGCAGTGATAATTACATGGACCAAGTGACTTAATGAACCATTTAGGGTTTAATTATCCTTGTCATTAAAGAGCTGTCATAAAGCCTATTTCTGCAACTTATAGGTCTCATTTTTGTTCTATCTCCAGTAGACAGAGTAATTTGTTCCCTCTTCTGAACAGCCTTCTACATATTTAAAGACATCACGTCTCTGCTCAGCCTCTGAGCTTCAGTTGGTGTGATTTCAATTTCACAGTATTCCAGGACCAAAGAATCATATTTGGGCCAGGGGAGCAGGCTACATCCCTGCTCCACGAACAGGTTGCAATAACTAACGCAGGAGTCCCCTTCACAACACAAACAGCAGCCACACACACCACTGCACGGACTGACAGCACCCTGATCCATTGTGTTTTTGTTCCTCTGGACTGTCTCTAATTAAACAGCATTTTTAAGTGTCATACCTAGAAAAGAACAAGCTGACTAGAACTATGTCTAGAACAACTATCTAGAACTACAGCTCCAACGTTAATAGAAGATTCTAAGTATTACTTGCATCTTAAAAACTGCATGAAGCCTGGGTGTCAACATAGAAAGAAGTTTTTGCAGCCAACATCTCCTGCACTTACACAATAAGGAGGAATTCTGACTCACAAGTATAACCTGCTAGGACTGTGACATTGCTTTCTGATTTTTAGTGCTTCTGTCTTGCTCCCAGCAAGTTAAAAATACACACTATAACTAACAGAGTGAATAAAACATCAAAAGCATGCTGAAACACAACTTTATTTCAATACCCACAAACATACCCACCACTGAAAGGAAGAGACTCACACTCAAATATATGCTTAGTTTTATTTATAACATTTAAGAAATATTAACATCTCAGGATATCTGGTTTACCATCTAAGTCCAGTCATAAGCAACAAAAAAGAAAATGTTAACTATGTTTCAAATGAGCATTCTTACATTCATTCCCCCCTGTAATGTAAAGAAAATTCAGCTTTATTAAATTTGTGTTTGACTAATGGAAAAAAAAATCATTAAAAACATCTTAACTACCAGGCATCCTGGTTTGTTAATTTTTTTGTTGGCACTTGTGTTCACCACAATCAAGCACTCCAGTTGGTTGGTTAAATTTTCCCCTTCTACCCAGAACTGTCTTTTTGTGAGTTTTTATATGGATTTTATTATTTTGTTGTTGTAATTGTTTTTTTAAACATCTGGATATGTAAGCTTGTTCAAATATCTTTAAAAAGACAAGGAATCTAGGCCTGTCTGAGAAGCTCCTTCCCTTGATAACCCACCTATGGGATAACTGAAGGAAGAGACTTGCTTTCATTTTTCTGAATCTTATTAAGCAAAAATTAATTTTAATTAATTTTAAACTGAAAAAAAGTACAGAAACACTGTATTTATTTGATGGTGTGCATAAACATTACACTCCATACATAGCAAAAATATCTTTTATTTATAATTTACATTTCAACAAGTGAAAATTTTACATTTTTACATATACCATTAAATTTTCACGCATCTACAGAACTTTCACACAATGACACCTGAAACTGTGCAGGCAATAAGAAATTTCAAATACAAAAATGTATTTATTAACCAAACAGTAGTTGAGGCCCTGCCTCAATTGGACATTTTATTCATATAAAAAGTATTCGCCTCCCAGAATTAACACAGCAGCTCTTCTGTAAAAAAAAAAAAAAAAATCATACCGCAGTTTATTTAAACAGACTCCTCAGGTTCTGTTTTGATTTCTGTAGATGCAGGTGTGCTCTCTTCTGCACAGGCAGGAGGGGTGTCATCAGGTTCTTCTTTGATTTTAGGTGAGTCACAGGACTCTTCTGTTTCTTGTTTAACAATGTCCAACATTATATTTAGTGGATTTTCTGAAGGAGTCTTGCTGGGAGACGGTGTGCAATCAAATGATGATGTCTACAAAGTGAAAGTCAATGTACATTAGCACACTAAAATAATGATTTTTAGCCTCTTACTCCTTTTGTCTTTTTTCAACTTGCAAATATGTTTATGCTCAGGCACTCAAAATCCAAACTTTTACTTTGTCAAACTTTTAAGAAAACAAATTCATTTTTTTAATAGCATCACTTTTTTTTTTCCAATCCCTTTGAAAAGTACCACCAAGCAGTGATGACGTGCTTAACACATTACCATGAACCATTGTAAATCCCAAAGCATTAAAAATGTCACACACACCAATACCCATCTACTCCATTGTTACAAATTCCTAAGATGACACATCTTACTCCACAATAAATCCATCCAACCATGGCTTTGCTTTATGGCACGCCAGCTGTCATGGTACTCACAACCAGAAATGTTATCTCAGTTAATTCTGTATTATAAACTTGCCATGCCCAAGGCCTCCAAGTCTTAGGCGAGAGAAATGGGCAGCACATTCTGAACACATCCGCTCCCTGCAAAGCGAAGAGATGAAGCAAACAAACTGAAAGCAAAATGCTTCCAAAAATATGAAGGATTCACTTACATTCTGGTAATCTTCATAACAAGATGGATGGTAAATCTGAAAAAAAAATTGTTATACATTTAAATATAAAAAATAAATTATAGCAGGATCACTGATAATTAACTGAACAGTGTCTATTACACATTATCACATAACTCATCTGGAGAAACTATGGTCTGAGCAGGCTAAGAATGGTGTCAACTATATCTGCAACAAGATTTTGTGAAAGATTTAGTGATGTTTATTTAGGAAATGTTATCATACAGAAGACTGGTGAGTGTTGGGAATTACAGAAGCCTGGTGAGTGCTGGGAATTATCTGTGCACAGCTGCATGCAGGAGGAACTGAATCCATACCTACACCCACACACAGAGACATCAATTTTTCTTTGAGCATTGCAGTGTAAGGAAAAGCTAGTGAGCCCATAACAATGACACCAGGATTTCAGGCACTTCCAAAGACAGAGATATTTATGTATTTGGAACCCAGAAAAACTACAATAGGAATCCTTCAAGAGAAAAAAACACCTCCTTCTGTTTTTTTTTTAATTATTCAGGGGTTTTACTATAAATTAGCATCACATGTAAATAAGACGAAATTACCTTTTCATCTACCCTGATAGCATTCTTCAAGTGCCACTCTTCCTCTTCCTCATCCCAATACTGTTCAAATTGTTCTTGGCAAATTTCACAGCTCTGAAAAGTTATTGGAATAACAGAGATAAATCATGTTATTGCAATTTGCTGAACACATGAAATTCAAGAATCTAGTAGAAGTCAAATAAGGTTCTTTTAAATTAAGTATATTAAGTCTAGAACATGGTCTTTCCTCAACACTTTAAAAATCACTTTAATAATTAGTAAACCTTAATTAAAAATTGAGTATGGTTTGCAGACAGAGAAAGGATCACCCTCTGGCCCTGAATACTCTGTCACTAGAGACAGGTAAGCTTTACCCCTTTAGCTAGTTAGTCTGCAAAGCATTTTGTAACAGTGTAATGCTGTCTTACTGTCATGTAAGACAATCCATTACAGTGATTTAACTAGTTTTATTTCTGGCAATATCTTGCAATATCATAATTCTTCCCCCTTAACCTGCAATTTCAAGTCAAACAAGGCAGAAATTTTTTAGTACTTTTGTGAAAAAGTATCAACCCAGAGAATAAAGCACAAAAGGTGCTTTTTTAAAATTAAAAAAAAAGAAAGGCCTTTCTGGTTTCACAGCTTCTTAGAGACTTAGCACGTAAAACTAAACTGCAATTCTAACATTTGTATTTGATTATGACACCAATTAATCTACCAAAATACAGCTCTACTGATTATTTTCAATTTGTGGTATTTCTTTCTTCTAAAGCCTATCTGCTACCAAAAAAGAAATTTTTGTGTTTGAAAGTACCAAAAACCCAGTAAATCCTGTAGTTATTTGAATGACAAACAACCAAAGGACAAATCGCTTATGCTATTTTCTCTACATAAACATTTAACAAATTAACACACTTTGCCCATTTAAATCTGGCTAAAACCACACAATGCCAATGGTTGCAGATTTTTTTTAACTACAAGTTTCTACTACTCCTGCCCCTGGGAAGCAACCATTACATACACAAATACACAACCTATGGAGGGGCTGCACAAAGGCCCAAGTACAAAGTCAAAATTAGGAACAAGAATACAGTACAAGCCTTTGAAAAACTAGATTCTTGCTATCTGGCAAGCTGAAACTTACCTCCACTGCTCCAGCTGGTCCAGCTGGGACACTCTGGAACTCCTTCTCTTTGGCAGCTTCCTGTGTCTTCAACACAACCTCTTCATGTGCTTTTTCAAAGAACTGGCTTTTAGCACGCTCCTCTAGATCTGCTATTTCTTCAAATTCAATCCAGTCCTAAGGAAAGTGTTCATTCTCACTCAGACATCCCAAAGCATCATATTTAATAAATGTTACTTTGTTAAAACGGAACTATTTCCCACATGCAGCATTAGCACAGTGTACTCTTTCTCACAATGCAACACTTCAAAAACTTTTACCAAAAAAATCACTATCTTTCAAATTCCATTCACAATGGAATGGAAACAGTGCAGTAAGCAGCTTCAAACTGTTTATTGTCCGTCACACAATTGTCTTTTGTATTCTGACAGGCATTTGCAGACCACTTGAAGTATCTAAGACATCATTGTTTACCACAACCAACTCCTGTGACAATACAAATTTCAGCTGCAATCCTACAGCACATGCAGGAGTAAAGCACAGAATCCAGCCTGTAATTTATCCACACAAATACTGCATTACTTACTGTTAAACTGTAGTACCATCTCCTGTGTGTAATTTTTCTGCTAACATCTTTTTCTGTCCGGTTCTGGCGATAATGCCAATCTAAATGGTCTGCATAAACATCTGTCTGTGAAGTAGTGAATCTCATTCCACAGGAGTAACACTGAATTCCAGTGTACAGTCGATTTATAACACTATCATAGCGCCTACAAAAAGAGAGAAAAATCTTAGCACTTTTTTAAAAATAGACAGTAAGAAGTTTCTCAGTAAAATGCCTTATTTGCCTACAGTAGTAGGGAAAAAGCAAGGATCCGTTACAAGTTAAAAGTACACAACATGACTACATTTCATCCTATTTTCATAGCACAATCTACTTAAACATTCAAAAAACAATGGGCTCTTCTTAACGATTCATGAGAAACATGCTAGTGTTGTGTCTCATTCCTACTAGCTATTCTCACCTAATGATGCACAAATAGCAATGCCTTCATTTGGACCAACTTTACAAGCTGCCACCAAATGGTAAAATTAAAATCACAGAACGGTTTGGGTTGGAATGGATCGTAGAAGACCATCTAGTTCCAACACCCCTGCCATGGACAGGGACACCTTCCATCAGGTTGCTCACGGCCCCATCCAATCTGGCCTTGAACACTTCCAGGGCTGGGACATCCACAGCTCCTCTGGGCAATCTATTCCAGTGCCTCATCATCCTCTCAAGTAAACAATTTCTTCCTACTATCTACAACAAATCTGTTCTTCAGCCTGAGGCCATTTGCCCTTGTCCTGTCACTACATGGCCTTGTGAAAAGCCCCTCTTCAGCTTTTCTTGTAGTCCCCTTTAGGTACTGGAAGGTCTCCCTGGAGCAGTTTCCTCTCCAGACTGAACCACCCCAACTCAGCCTATCTCACAGCAGAGGTGCTCCAGCCCTCTCATCATCTTTATGGCCTCCTCTGGAGCCACTCCCAACAGGTCCATGTCCTCCTTGAGCTGGGGCCCCAGAGCAGCACTGCAGGTGGGGTCTCACCAGAGCAGAGGGTGAGAATCACGTCCCTTGACATCCTTGTCACAGTTTTTGATGCAGCCCAGGCCTGGGCTTCACTGCCTATCACAATCTTAGTGCTAAAGTAACAACGCACACCTTTGTGTGAAGCTAAGCTTTCCCACGTCAAATTGCTGTCTCTTTCCTTTCTCAGCTTCGAAAAGGCTGACATCAAACAATGCAGGTTTAACCTCCTCAGAACCACAAAGTGACAGATAATCTTTTTAAAGCCTTTAACTGTCTTGGATGAAGTATGTAGCTACTGCCACATTTATTGTTATTAATTGTTATTCCTACGGTAAGCCCATTCTACTATACGCACTGTCTAAGTTCTTCGACTATGAAGTTAGTGAGGTCTGGAACATTTTGATCTTCATTCTGATCATCATCTTCTTCTTCAGCATTCGGCTGGGACGATGTTTCGTTCGCTTCTAGAAACCATGAAGATATCATTTTATCAAAATTTCAGTACATCATCAGAAAGAAATTATGTCCTCCTAAAAGTTAGGTTTTTTCCAAACATTATTAATACAATCTGACTATGGTCAAACACAAGTGTGGAAGAGCTAAATCAGTTCTCTTCTGACACCATTTTAAAAAAGCATAAAAGAAAATAAGCCAGAATTTCAATTGAGGAAAACAGTATTTCACCTCAGTGTTTGGCATTAAAATTCAGTCTTCACAGATACAGAAATATTTCAGAAGATGAAAAGGCCCTGATTATAATCAAGAACAAGTTACAAAAGCACAGCACCAAAGACAAAACTGACTGCTCTAGATAGCTGAAAAGCAAATTAAACAAGATACTAAGAATTTACTCAATCACATACACTAAATTCCTTCCCAAAAACAGAGTGCAGTTTAAAAAAACCTATACAAGAATTCACAGAAGTCTGCATACTCAGATTTACATTTGAGCTGTGGAAAAACTCGACAGTTAAGACATAATAAATCTACATACGTGCTGAAGTGGAATCAGTTTTAGACAATTTGAGGATCCCTGTTTTCAGCAGTTTAGCAAACAATTCATTCACATCAACCTGTCCAAGGTGGTTATCAGGATATGAATGGGAAAGGGCTCCTGAGGAAGAACATAGACATTAAGGCAGCAAAAGGTTAGCATCAGAAATCTACTTCACTTTTATCATCTGTGTATTTCACAACACCATTTTCCTGTTGCCTCCCATTTATTTCATTTTTTATTACAAATTATTTACCAACTCTCTGCTTTATCTAGTGTTTGGCTAATTTTTTCCCTTGAAACAGGGAATCTTTGTAAGAAGATGTTCCCTTCCTTCATAATGTATTCTGAAGTGCTATCTAAGCTGGTTGCCCATACACAGATCTCTGCTGGATGGTGGTTCTTGAAATGCAGTACACTATGCTGGATTCATACTTACATATTTCCCCACACTCAATCTACTTTATCACCTAGTTTATAACCTTTCACGATGTTATTGAAGTTTTTCACTACTAACCACTCATACACTGGAATGTTTGCACACCCCAGCACAGCAGGCTAGATCTACAGACTGATGCCTTCCAGAAAAATAGATCAAAACATTTTTTTTTGTTGTTTTTTCAGCAAAACTTTATACCCAAACCATATGGTTAATGACAACTAACAAAAGCCTCCAGTGTCTGAGAAAAGCTCCTTAAGAGATGAAGGTGCTACAGACACTGTATCTACACAGACACTTCACTGAGGAGGTTTCCCTTAATCCACACAGACCCAGTAAATCAGGACATTAAAAAAATGTCCATTTTTGTGGCTACCACCAAACAAACAATCCAAAAGAAATAAAAGGAATTCTGCTGTTAACACACCTGCGGGGTTCTGGACAAAGCTTCCAGGATTTGGCAAATACTGCTGACCTTGGCCATAAGGTCCTGGTTGAGCAGACATGAGAGAAACCTGCAAAAGTAAACATTTATGTAATTCTTTGTATAATAATGTGAGTATAAACTTACTTTTCACATTTTATTATTAACTTCTAGATGTTTCTCAATCATTTCACATACACCAAACTCCTTCCAGGAATGAGCCATGTCAGTTTGAAAAGACCACAAATAACTCCATGACCTTTCTCCCATTTTAATTTCCCACTAGAAAAATTCAGACCACATCCTTGTTTTGCCTAATATTAAAACAAACAAACAAACAAACCAAAGAAACCCTACCACAATACCTTCAACACCTGTCCTACTTAACAATCACATTTTCCAAACAGTACTGCCTTTCAAATTGCTCATGTTCACCACAATAGAGCGCCTCAAGAAATTCAAGGAACCCGTAATGTCTATTAATAAATGCCACAGTTAATTCTTATCAGGAACTGAACCAGCATTTAGTGCAGACACACATCTTGAAAGCAAGACTTTTCAGCACATCAGCTACAGTAAGCTGTAGGTAGAAAAACAAGTCTTTATAACACATTTGTAATAAAAATGTTTGGAGTTTTTTTCCTAACTGGTTGTTTTCTGGATTTACACACTGTTTAAGATTTTATCCCATTAGAGGTCTGCAGGACACATTACCTGCTTTTTGTACAATCAGTTAACTCTTCACATTCACTTTTTATCCCCCAAAATTAAAAACGCTTTTTACAATCTCGAATCTACTGCAAGAAATTGTATCCGTTTCACCACTGTAAAGTACTATTTACTCCTTTTGAAGAGAGCATTTACAAGAGGCAACAGCAAAGACAACTGCAAAGACAAAGCAAGATGGTGCCAAGAGAATTTTCAAGGACAACAATGCAGTTGAGCAAGAAAGTTCAACAATGGCCCTATCTTCCTCAATTCCCCCAAGTTATGGATATCTCTCTAAAACTGGCTTGTAACAGTACAGCTGCAAAAAGACAATTATTTTGGTCCAGTCTAACTTCACACCTTTTATAAAAGTTAATCATGTATCATGTAATCACATTATCTTTCATGCTTTACACAGAATTCGCTTTTGTTGAAACTTAAAGAGAATACCAAAGGCTTCCAATTACCTGGTTTTGTTCTAATGTTGAAAATAATGATTTCAAAGACATATCCTGAACTATGAAGTGATTGCTAAGATCCAGTATTTTGTCTAATACTTAAAAAAAGATTCCTGAAACACAGTAATGCATGTCCTTATTAAATTATCGAGTGATTTTTTTAGTTTGAAAGTGACTCTCAGCCTGCCAACTCTTTAGAAAAATATTCCATTTTTACAGGAAGAAATCCTGCTAATTCTCTAACAAAAACATTTCTGCAAGCAAAGTATTTGATGCAATCAGCTCTTACCTGACTACCTCCCATTGGCATATTACTGAAATTCCCATATTGAGGACCCTGGAGACCTTTTTCTTCGAAGTAATGTCCAGCTGCTCTCAGTGGGAAGCTCTGTGCTCCTGGGCCAGCTGGCCCATTGAAATTTGGTCCGGGTGAACCATCGAATATATCAGGTCTCTGGAACTGCATTCCATGAGCTGGTCCATTGTAGCCTTGGCCAGGATGCTCAACAAACGGACCACCTTGTCCATATGGTGACAATTCTAGTCTTGAGGCAGGATGGTTAGCTACATTTTCAAAACGTGCACCCTGAAGGCCAAGGGGCAAGTCAAACCTAGAGGCTGGCTGGTGAGGTCCATCAAATCTTTGAGGTATGGCTGTTTCAAATCTTGCTTGTGCCTGTTGGCCAGGTGCCAACCTTGGACCAGGCTGTCCATGAAGTCCATCAAATCTTTGCAGGAGAGACAGCTGTCCAGGCTGACCATCAAATCCAGCTCCATGACATCCATCAAATCTCGGACCAGCCCGACCAAGAGGACCATCAAATCTAAGTCCACCAGCTCCCTGGTGTACTGGTCCATCAATCAACCTAGGACCTAGACCTGGCTGACCACGTGGTCCTTCCAGTCTCAGCCCACCACCTGATGGTCCATGTGGTCCCTCAAACCTGAGCCCACCACCTGATGGCCCATGTGGCCCCATGGGCTGACCATGTGGCCCCTCAAATCTGAGGCCACCTCCAAGTTGTCCATGGGGCCCCAATGGCTGTAAATGTGGCCCCTCAAACCTGAGGCTACCCCCTGGTTGACCATGAGGCCCCAAGGGCTGACCATGGGGTCCCTCAAACCTGAGACCACCCCCTGGTTGACCCCGAGGCCCCATAGGTTGACCATGAGGTCCCTCAAACCTGAGACCACCTGAAGGCTGACCATGAGGACCCTCAAACCTGAGACCAACTCCAGGACCTTCAAACCTAGCACCGCCTACAGGCTGCCCTGCAGGCCCCTCAAACCGCAAAGGCCCAAGAGGTCCCTCAAACCGCAGTGGACCTCCTCCACCAACCTGGCCTGGGGGTCCTTCAAATCTCAGGGACCCTGCCAGCTGCCCTGGTGGCCCATCAAATCTTAGGGCTCCAGCTCCTCCTGCTCCTGCCAGTGGTCCATCAAACTGAGATGCACCTGTCCCCACCAAAGGCCCTTCAAATCTCATAGCAGCCTGTCCAGCTGGTCCATCAATTCTGGAACTTGAACCAGCAGCAGGACCATCAACAAAAGGACTGCCTTGTCCATCCACACCAACCCTTGCAGCAGTCGGTCTAGGTGAGCCATCAAACAGAGGTCTGTCTTCCATCAGTGCACTTATCCTCTGCTTTGCTTCAATACTTCCAAATCTGGATCCTGGACTTTCTGGAAATGGTGCTTTCTCTGGATCTTCATATCTAGCTCTTTTGAAACGTTCAGTGAATGGTGACCTTGGTTCCTCCCGAACACCTAAAAACACCAGAACAAATCACATAACCACTCACTAATACGTTGTCAATCACTTAACAGATACAAAATAAAGTAAAATCACATACCAGCTTGCCCAAGAAGCTGTCTTTCTTCACGATTATCAAACCTGCAGAGTGCATCTCCATCTGTTTTCTGGAACTCTGCTGTGCTTTTCCCCTGCTGTCTGAGAGCATCTCTAAATTCATCCGATTCTCCCCAGCTGTCATAAGGATCAGAACCTCTTGCTCCTTTAGTAGCACGCTGGTCTTCAAGTCTTCGTCGACTCTCAAGCGGTGACAGGTTTTCAGCAAATGGTCTTGTAGTGCCACTTACAGGAGAGTGTCTCCTTGATCTTTCTGCAAATGGTTCTTTTCTGTCAAACTGTACCCCCCGCTTGGCTTTTGCCTGCTCACATTCTATTCCAGAAAGCAATGCATCAGGTATATGGTAATCCAAAATATCATCAGGATCCAACAGATCAAGCCTTGACAATGAATGCTGAACTTGTGTCCTTTTTAGTTTAGCTTTATGCTCATAATATGTTAATTCTGCATCCGATAGAAGAGGTTTCTTTTTCAAACCACATTTTTCCTCTGTAGGGCTATCCCAGACATTACATCTGTGCTTTCCTTCCTGATACTGGAACAGCTGTCGGATCTGATGAGCTACCATGAGAAACTCATCTTGTGTTATTTCACCAGACGTCAAGCGGTCATTAGCCTGTAATGTAAAGTTAAAATTTAGACTTCCAAAGAGACAAGAAAAAAACTCCACACCTGGGACACTTCTATGAAGACAGATCTATTAGTATTACCTTCTTAAGTAATTCTCTTTTACTTGCAGATGTCAATTCTTTGGGAATCTGTAAATTGGCATCCACACTTAACCGATGCTGCTGCTTTGGTGCTCGGGGTGATAGAATTCCTTTACCAGCAGGCCAGTTTTCCCGATGTCTTTGGTGAGGGGATTTAACAAGTGCTTGGTGTTCATCATTCTGCTGTGAGCTGAAAACAAGAATATATGTAAAATATAGATTATTCATTATTCAGGATGTAATGGTTCCTACTAGAACTGATCATGGCAAAACATTGCTATCACCTTTAGAATCTAAGTATGCATGACCTAGGTATTTCACTAGTAGAAACAAATTAAACCTATCAATTTTAACAATCTGAACACTGCCTCTCCAAGTCAACTATACTGAAGCCAACAGGAGAATTTCCACTGACTTCACACAGAAGTTGTTTAAGAGATAGTAACTTACTTTTTGCTTTCTTCCCAACCAGATTTCCACCTCTTGCCTGATTTAGATCCCTGCCAGTTTTCTGCATTCTCCTTTGGATCTGGAGAAGCTTTTGCAGAATGCTGGGTGGTTGTCTCTTGGGGTCTTTCTTCTTGGGCTTTTTTCAATCTCCTTGGATCACGCACCTCTTGTTTAACATTTCTCTTATTAGAATTTCTTTCATCTCTTGCTGCTTGTGTGCCTTCCTCAACATGAGACTGCTTAGGGCCTATCTGACGCATCTTTCCAATTTTAGGAGTTGATGAAGTAGGAGATAAACTCCGAAGTCTTCTTTTAGGTGATCTCCTCTCTCGTCTTTTTGGAGAGTGTGTAGATGGGGATCTTGCCTTAGGAGAGCGTGATCGTGACCGTTTTCTACTACTTGATCTTCCTTGTTTCCCACCCTGTTTTTCTGACTCCTCTGTAGTTGTGTCTTGTTTCTGAACAGCACCGTTAATCACTTTATTTCTGCTCCCCACTGGTCTATGTTCACATGTCTTATGCTCCTCTTTCTCCTTCTTCTCTGTACTTCTCCTCTTTTCTTTGACCTCCTCTTCCTTCCCCTCTGACTTATCTTGAAGATGTCTTTTCAGTCTTGGATCCCGCTTACTGATGTCAGAAGCCTTAGTACTTTCACATTCTTGGTTTTTACTGTCTTTAGCATCAGGCAGCTTATTTTTCAAAGGGGATGGCGATTTAGACTTTGCTTTGGACTGTTCAAGTTCTTTCTTCTGTGTTTTTTCACTTGCTTTCGATTTTTCTGACTTCGTTGAGTTCTGTTTTTCAGCCTGTGCTGTTTTGTTTCCCTTGGTCTCAGACTGACTGGTCACACTCGGTGAAAATTCCTTCCTGTGAGACTGATCTTTAGTATGAGAAGAATGCTGACCCATCCTATTAAGCCGAGGATCCCTGTTCACTATTTTGATATCATGAAGTGGAGGACTTGAGGACGGTTTGTTTTTTTCAGATTGCGAAGCAGTTTGATGAGGTGGTTTAACTGTCATATGAGGTGTGGGAGACATGTGTTGCTTGGAAGGTGCTGGAACTGAAGCTATACTAGATGATCCCTGCTGAACACTAAGAGATACAGCCTGAAATTGGAAAAAAATCCAGCATTAATCTGCATGCAACAACTCCTACCCAGAGGTGCCAATATTCTGTCTCAAAACCAAAACTGTAATAGCCACGTCTTGAAAGTTATGAGCTTCAGCCATTTAACAGAAATTGACCCACTAACTGCTAATTATAAGCACTAAAATAATGCAGCACCATTACAAATCAAACACAGTGCAAGATCAATATATAACGTAAATACTGCTAAATACGTAAATTTGGCACACGTTCCAATTACAGTGCTAGCTTTCCTATATATTCTACATGCTCTAGGCAACTCAGCTGCCAAGTATCCTATTTTCACACTTCAGTTCAAAGATGCTTTATTTTGTATTGTCAACTGCCAATACTGTAAGACTTCCCAACTACTGCCAACCAAGGAACAGACTTTGCTTACAAACAATCAGGCTCCCTTGTTCCTTAGGAAAAAACATATTTGAAAATAGCCCAGCTCACTGTCAGTTGAAAGAGGTGAAAGATGGAAGATCAGTCAGGTATCATTCTGAAGAGAGATTAAAACAAACCGCAAGAATTCCACTTTTTTTTTTTTACATTTCAGTGTAATACTTAAGGTAAAAACTGTTGAGGATCACCAGCTCACCTTGCACTGCTGTAGTAGTCCTAAAATAGCTACACTTGCCTAACATGAGTGAAAAACCAATGTACTTGAACTCTCCAAAAGAGAGACCCCAACTATGAAAGTTTTATCAACTATCCTACTCACCAACTGTGCTTTAGTCTGTTCCAGCTCCAGCTCTAGTTTTTTTTGCTGAAGTTCTAACAACTGTTTTTGCTTTGCAAGCAATTGCTGCCTTATCAGTTGCTCCTGTGTCAAATTCTTTTGTATTTCAGGAACAGCTGGAGGAGTAGAGGCACCAGAAGTGACAGCAGAGGTAGGTGCATTAGATTCCTCTGGCTAAAAACAAAATAAAGTAAAGTTACATTTAAAATCCTAATAAAATCAACTAAATCCATCTCCTTTCAGTGTTATCATGATCCAGCACCGGGACTGGATCACATAGCAGTTATAAACTTCAAGTTTTTTGTCCCACTATGATTTGCCTGGTTTGACAGGTGTAGGGAATTTAATATAAATTCCTCAATGTTCCAAAACCTAGAATTCAATTAGTAAATTAAAAAAAAACAAATCCTTCAAATATTCTGAATTTATAAATTTCTCTTACCTGTTTACAAAGGTCAGATAATTAATTCTTAATATTCTAAATTGTCAAAAAGCAGCACACAAACAATGAAAACTACATGTATTACCATCTGTTCTTCCAGAAGGCAGGAAAACTTACCGATTTATTTAAAAACTTAGGATTCACATGGATGCTAGAAGTATTCACATTTGGGGGCAGAGGTTTAATTGGCCAGGCAGGATCTAATGAGTTGACTCTGACATCAAGTGCATATAGTTTCTTCAAAGGAAAAATATCATCCCATGTGGAGCGTAATTTAAATAAACTTTTCCTAGTATTTTCATCCACCTAAAACAATAAAACAATTCTATGGCTTGTTAAGTTAATATAGAACAATTTCTTAAACTTTTCTGTAGAACTTAAGATTTCATTCATCTCCTATTTTTATCTTGCCATTTCAACATACTGAACTTGCTACACAAAATTTGTAAGCAGTGCAGACAACACATCTCTATCAATGGGATCAGTAACAGAAGCTCAAAGGTGCAATTGTTGTTTCAAGGCCATTTGAAGATTTTATTGTGTATTACCATGCTCTGAGAATTTTCTTTCAACTTTTCCATTAGCAAAATTCTCATTTTACTGGCCCAACTTCTGTGGAAAAAAATACAGTAACAAAAGTATTGAAAGGCAACCGCCTCTGAGACAATACATCATTCAAGTGTTTGTGCCGGAGTATAACAGTGACAAACAAATCAATAAAAAACAAACTGAATGGAAAAAAAAGGTGTTTTGCTCAGCTGTTTAGTCACTGAAGGATTTTTTTGGACAAATGCAATAAAATGAGTATTCACTAAAATGAAGTCAATTACTATTTCAGTTCAGCTGCATAATTAGACCCATCTATGTATGAGTCACAGATCAAATGTACTGGTAGGACCAGAAGCCCATTTTATCTCTTTAAAAACAATTGGATTATCTTATGGCAGCTAAATTAGAAATTTACAATACAGCAAAATTTAGTTAATCTCATAACTTAAATCGCTCAATTAAACAACAAATAAAAAATATTAAAGGACAAAATAGACGCAGCTGTCAAATTTCAAAATCCCAATTCAATCATTAAGCACTGCCCATGCAGATGATTTGTGCTGCCATTTTCAGATGACATAGAATATTCTGGAAAGTTTGGAGGTTCTTTTGGGTAAAAGCAGGAGCTTCAATAAAAGTAATTCATACTTAGTAATTGGGGGATGATGCCTCTATACAATTTCCCATGAGAGGCTTCACTGAAGTTCACTGCAAAAATGTGCAGGAATGACTAAGCAAACAGTTCTGAATTCAAGAGTCTAAAGATACCTTAGTGACCATTTACTGATAAAACCCAATGCCTCTGCTGGAATTCTACACACATCTTTAACCAACTAAGCTATCAGAAATTACTGCCACTTTACACACATAATTAGTACACAAAAATAGTTCTAGCTAGATTACTAGCAAGTTAACATATAAAACTCTGAAGGTGAGTTATTATCCAGAGCTTCAATCAGCTGCAACTTTAAACACAACTCAGTAGAATAGCACTCACAATTTAACACCAAAAAACCAAGTAAATCTATCTCTATCTGCTCTACATACAGGAGTTTAAATCTTCTACAGTCACAATCACAATCTATTCCTTACTTCATCACACACTTTACATCTGAAAACCATACACAAAGCGTACTGGGATTTCAGATCCTCACTGATATGTAATGATAAATATGCAAAAGCTTCATTCATCTCATTCTTATGGAACACCACTTTCTTGTAACATACAGGAAACCACAGAAGTTAACCCTTCTTTTCTGATCCAACTTAAACCCATTCAAGTCTGGCCTTTCAAAACATGGACTTTGATATGCTTTTCTCACTGAGAAGTATGCACAATTACTTCAACAGGCTTCAAGACAAGCCAGTGAAGCCAGAATTAAGATATGGCAGCAGCTTTCAATGTTGAATGAAAACTTATTTATAATAGTCACACATTTTAAGGTCCTTCTCTCACACAGTCACAGCATTTTTTTCAGCTGACAGACCACCAAGAGAGAACCAGGCGTCAGTGCTACTCCCTCTTGAGTTTAAGCACTCATTCTGCACAATATGAATTATGTAAATCAAACAAATTAACTACAGGAGAGTGAGGCTTTGAGAAATCCACAAAAAAACAATTCTCAGTCTATTCATCTATTCTTTGCATAAGGACTATTAACTATCTTAAAATTAAACCAATGCTTCATAATGAATTGGTCTATACATTACAAAAAGTCCATCCAGCTAAGCCATTAACAGTCAAGATCCTGTTAGTAAAATCTTGCCTGGACAAGAAAGCTACTGATGTTTACACACCAAATTAAGTAATACTTTGCATCTTTCAGCTAACGTACATGCTTGATAGCAGAAGGAATAATCTTTCACAGTATAGATATTGAGATTTATAAAAACCAATCAATTTGTATAGTTCACCACACAAGAAAATCCAAACCTGAAATCACGTACTTATTTTACCAGGAACAAACTTTGCTTAGAATACAGTACTTTTCTGAAAGTGTATATATACCTTTTCAAATACACAAATAAATGTTGCAACTAGGTTTTTAGTAAATGCTGTGAGATACTCTCTTCCCACATTCTTGACAATGGAATCCATTAGGTACATAACGGGTAGCTTCTCTGATGCAGGAGCCTGGAGTAATAAGAAGAAACTGAGAAGTTTAGTACAACAAAAACATACTTTAATAACCTTTCCAAATAAAGGGATTACCAATCCCAGAAATACAGACCTCTCTTTTTGGTTGCCACTATACATACCAAGGGATTTGGTTTGGGATTTTTGTTTATACAAAAACTTAATCTGAAAAATGGACACTCAGTTCAAAGTATAATGCAGTGGGTCTATCACCAAAAAAAAAAAAAAAAAAAAAAAAAAAAAAAAGAACACCTTAGGTTTGTGTATCAAAGCTTTAGAAAAAAGGGGGGAAAAAAGAGGAAAAAAGAAGCCCATGAGACAGTATTGCCACTAGTGTACCGAGTGTAACCTTTCCCTTGAGGAAGCAACTTAGCACGAAACCACTGTCAGCACTTCAAGGAACTTCTAAAAATCGTTTATAATTCAAACCTCCTGGGTGGATTTTTCTGGTTTTCACAGAACACAAATTAGACTTCTGGCAAATAGCCCAAGTCAGTGAACTTCTGTAGCTGTAAATTATACGTTGATTATCACAGTTTTTTGTAAATTACATGTAGAAAAGGTTGCAATTATTTCACTGTAATCCAACCGGATATAGCAGAGTCCCATTCACTCTTGGCACTTGCAGACGGCGATGGTTCTTATTTCCAAAATGCATGCAAAACCAGTCAGAATAGAGTTCAAAATCCAGTCAAAACTCAATCATCAGTCGACTGGGTAAATGCATAGACAAGCTCAGGAACTGCAACCACCATTTTCACAGAAGGTTGTCTTCAAACTCTGGACACAGCTTTGCTACAGGAGGCTTGGGGGGTTTTTTGTTTGGTTTTGGTTGGGTTTTTTTTAAATCCTTTTTCAAAACTCATACTAAGTTTGTGCGATAAAAGTGTGGTGACCCTGGACTGCTATAGCAACTTCCAATTTACAGAAAGCAGTACTGGACCAAGAGAAGTGATTTTAATGCCTGCCAGTGGCTTTCACAAAGCAGAAGGCACAGCAAAGTTCCAAAAAACATCAGCAAGTACAGAGACTTGTTGAAGAGGACATGAAAGAACACAAGCAGCGTGTGTTGACCATGAACCCCTGGGAAGAGCTTCCACTTGCAATACTTTAAGTTCCTTCCATTCACCATCTGGTAAGCTCTGGATAAAAGCAGAACAACTTCACTCACTGGTCATTTTAAACAGACTACTAGATTAATTAACGAAACCTTAATTCACAGGCCCACGTGAAGTGCTGCTGCTTCACCATTTTAAATTCAATTCCTCCCCCTTTGAGATGGTTGGCAGAAGGGCACTCACTCAACAGTATTTTTAAATGGGCAATCGGGCTTCCTCACCCTTAAAAGGTACTAATTTACCACAACCCAAAACTTATTGAAGAGGGCAGAATTCCTTGTTAGTTGGGTGGGATAGTAGAGGGGGGGTGTCACTGCCTTTGAACATACTGGAAAAAAGTAGAAACAGGCAGGTGATGCATTTTGTGCATAAAAAGACAAAAACCCAGCTATGTTAGCTAGAACTAATTGCAGCACATTAGATGTCAATTTCATGCTGTGACGTAATACTGAACTGTAAACAACCTAATGTGCAAGTGTTAGAAAAAAGCATCACTTAAGTCTCAGACACAAAAGACTGCGGATCTGCAGCTTTTTAAAATTTCTGTGCAATACTGGCTTCTTCTTTGAAGCAGCCTGCACAATGGCACATTAGAAACACTCCAGTTCTGAGTGCCTTCTTTTATAACAAAATGACAGCTACCACTTCTGACTTTTAGTCAGCTGGGTTAGAGACATAAAGAGCTGTCCCAGAAGTACCTATGCCCAAGAGCTACTCCCCAAGTTGAATTCTTCCATTTCACCAATGCAGGAAAGTAGCTCACTACACTCGGCTAAGCTGCAAGTTTGAGATGCTGGGGAAGCATTAGTAGCAAAAGCACTGGAAGAAGTTTAACTGTCCCTTTCATCATGCATCAGACTGTTACAGCAATCATACACGGAAACACCATCATCTAGGTAAGGAAGCCGACTTCCAACTCTGGAGCACACTTAGCAGTTCAGCAGCGTACCCTGCTCCAAATGTAGGCTACTCGGGTGTCGCATTTTAAGAAACGTGACTTAAATATGATTGGAATATTTAAGTCTTCTCTTCTGGAAGTGTTTATTATGTCAAGGTACCTAGCACGTATTGCAATAACCACAAAAGGGAATCCCACACCGGAATGCATTTTGTTTCCAGGAGGTCTCTGCAGCACCCCCAAGCAAGAAAGATGCCCACACGACCCTAATCAAAAGGCAGGGAGGCGCCACATAATCACCAGAACGCAGAAGAACACTAACTCTGAGCTCAGCATAATATTAAAGACTTCTTTACAAAACTCCCACTGTTCCTTCAAATAACGTAGGAAAGCTATTGTTGGAAATGTGTGGCTCTTTTTTATTAGTTTCCTAAAAGATTTCAAGTTTAAAATAATATCTGGCAATTCAACCCCAAGTCACAAACTTGTAAAAAAATTTGTTTAAAAAAAAAAAGAAAAAAGAAAAGAGCAACTTTGTATACAAAATGGGTCTTGGAAACAAACTCTGCACTATACAATGGTAAATAAAAAGACAAATACATATTTCACACTTTTTATTTACAAACTTTATAATACCAGTCACACATTTCAGAACCATTTATTAAATTTTAAAGCAGACCACTCAAGTTTTACACTAAACAAACTGTCTCCAGGCAACACTTTTTAAAAGTGGCTTAGTAAAGGAGATCACTTTCCCAGAAACAACTAAAAACTTGCCTTGAATAAACTACAGTCATAAACAGTAACTAGGCAAAACTAACCATTGATACAGGTTTTAAGACATCCTTTAAAAAACCCCCACACTTCAGGGCAGGTTCTAAATCACCCAGAAATAAAAAAAAAAAAAAAATTTGACAGCATTGTTATTCATCACAAATCATTTTATACACATCCACTGCCCTTTAGGAGATATAATGGTGAGAGCTATTAGATTATGAGGTCACCTCCCCAAGGAATGGCAAAAGGCAAACTCAGCCACTGGCAGCATTTAAAACTAGACTGGAAGAGGTCTGTAGCACACTAAAGACATCCTGCATTGATAGAAAGACAGATTAAAGATCTTAAAAGATGTTTCCCACCCCCACCATTAGGTAGTACAATTCTCACCATTATAAACCACGATTAAAGCCAAAGAAAAAAGCCTTTTAACACCTGAGATCAGAGGGAGCAAGGGAAACAACGGGGGAGGGGTGGCTGGCACGAATAGGGGGGGTGGGGGATTGAAAGAAGAACCCTTTTCTTTTAAAATGCTCGCTAAAAAGGTGGCGCAAACCCCCATGCATGTACAGTAGCTGACTGATGTCAGCAACTGCCTGGGCTGGGCTCAGAGGGAGCCTCCTCTTTCCCTTTTTATATCATGTGCCTTTCAGACGCCATGTTAGGATCCTACAGGCTGCTGCAGTTTCTACAGTCAGGGAGAATTTCTTCTACCACATCCTCAACTAATAAACTTCTCTAGCCAAAATAAAATACGCACACAACGCTAGTGCTACTCGGGGCACAGATCGCCTGAAATCCAAATAGATTATCCCAAGCCCAGAGAATTTTCTCTAGCGAGGCAGAGCAAAACAACCCCCATCACCACCACACACACTTCTCTAACGAAACAGAACCTTTCACCCACAAACTTTTTTACGATATATGGGAGCCTCCACCTCTCAATTAATCTCTTACAGGGACCGCACTGGGGAAATAGCTTTAACTTATACTGGGGAAATAGCTTCAACTTATACTTAAAGGTCACTATACTTAGCCCTTCAGTGGCGGACAAGTTGCGTTCTAGAAACTTAACCTTATTTTCCTTATAGACCACCCCCCAAGAAAAACCCAACTCTCCACGAGGTCTCCCCACTCAGGTCCTCTCTAATGATTGCAGTATCCACCTACGGTAGAAATCGCCTAAATGCAAGGGTTTAGTCATCAGATTCGGACACCGAATCCAGGCTGCATGTCGGGGGAAAACCCCGCTCCAAGGGCGAGGAAGTGCAGCTGCCCAGTCACCGCCGGGCCGCCATGTTGTGCCTGCCATTTACGCGGGGCTCCCAGCGCGAGCCACGCTGCCCTCCTCCCTCAGCTCTTCCTGGGCCGAGTCCCAAACCCCTCCCTACTCCCAACAGGCTGGTGTGGGGGCTGCTCCCCTCCCTCGAGTCCCCTGCTCCCTGTGCGATGGGGGAGTAGAAGCAGCAGCGGCACCCTTAAGCTTCGCGATGGAAGGAGGAGCCCCCGCCCGCCGCTTCGCCCCGTTGCTCCCTGATCCCAGCTGAGACACGCTTCCCTCCTCCGCCTGTTTCCCCCACGGCGATACCCGGCCTCCTACACCCCCGTCCTCCCCCAACTCCGTCCAAATCCTGCTCTCTCTGTTCCCCCCCTTCCTCCCAACCCCCCCCCCCCGCCCGGCACTACTTCCTAGGCCCCCGGCAGCCCCGGCCCAGCCATGCCCACCCCGCCCAAGCCTCTCCCCCTCTCTCTCGCCCCAATTCCCGACCCTCGGGCCCTCTCGTCCCCCGGCCCTGCTGTGTCCCCCTAAACCGCCTCCGCCGCTCGGCTCCCCCCGCGCCTGTCCTGCGAGCCCCCAGGCCGCCCTACCCCGCTGCCCCGGCCGGTCCCCCCAGCAGTATAGGTAGGAGTAGTAGTCGGTGGAATATAAAAACCTTGGCGATTTGCGCCTCGATCAGGGAGACGATGTCCTTGGCGAAGGGCACGTTCTCCTCGGCCAGGATGGTCAGCATGTTGATGTGCGGCTTGCTGTTGAACGTCAGGTCCTCCAGCGACGACTGGTAGTCGCGGCACGCGTCCTCCCGGGCCTCGCTGCTGCCAGCGCTGCTCTCCGGGGCCGACATGCTGCTCCGACCAGGACCCGACCCACCGACCGACAGCCCCCTCCCCGCGATTCCCCGCAGCCGCCGCCGAGCGATGCCGATGCCGCCCCCCCGCCGCTGCCGCTGGGCTCCTCTACCGCATCCTCCACGCTGAGGCTCCCGCTGGCTGCGCTGCCGGTGCCGCCGCTCCTCGGGCCGCCGCCGGCTCAGTCTCCGCGCTCACAAAATGGCGGCGGCGGGCACGGCTCGCGAACCGCTTCCCGCAGCCGTTGCGTCATGTGAAATTGCGCTCAGGAGAGGGGCCGGCGCCTTGGAGAGGCCCTTTTGTTCGCCGGACGCGCCCTGATTGGCTGGCGCCCGCCTGCGCGGCTCGCCATTGGCTCGCCCTTCACCACAGCGGTCTCCGATTGGCTGGCACCGCCCTTCCTCACCGCTGACTGGCTCCTGCGCCCAAGTCCCGCTCTCGCTCGCGCGTCCCGACTCGCCATTGGCCACGTCTCCCGTCCCGCCCAGCCGCTTCCTCCCGCCTTCCCGCGCTGCCCCGAGCGCTGATTGGTGCTGGCGCAGCCCCGCCTCCCGCCGGGCCCGCCCCGCCCGCCGTTGGCTCAGCCTCCACAGCCCCCACACGGGAGCGGCGGCCGCGGCGGCTCCCAGGGTGCTGGGATTGCCCTGCTGTATGGGAAGCGCCTGGGCGAGGAGCAGTGGCCATGAATAAAGCCACATGAAGTTCCACCTCAGCATGAGGAAAAACTTTTTTTACGTTGAGGGTGGCAGGCTGCCCTGGGAGGTTTGTGCAGTTTCCCTCTGTGGAGACATTCCAAACCCACCTGGACGCGTTCCTGTGTCACCTGCGTGCGGGTTTTGGGATAGGTGGTCTCCAGAGCTCCCTTCCAGCCCTGACAGTCCCGTGACTCTGTGAGTCGCTCGCCTCGGCAGCGGCCCTGCCCTCCGTGTTCCTCTGGCGCCGTCCCTTTAAGCAGTCACACCTCGCGCCAGAGTTCCCAGGTCTACACAGCCGGGAGTCGCAGGAGAGAGCTGGGAGTACAGGGAGCGAGAGAAAAGTAACAAAACCTGCCTTTCCTTGGTCATTAGATTTGCCCAGAGGTATTTCTTGGAAGTGAAGTTGCTTGCAGGGCATTTTCCAGGTGTAGCCATTCCTTCCCCCCACACTTCCTATTCCTTTGTAACTGGAGAGCTGTCAGCGTGTTAAACCAGGCAAGGGGTGAATACTTCGTTAAAATAGACGGCATGAAACACGGCATGTGGGATAGTGTTTAAAGCGCAAATGGTGTATATATTTATACATAGAAATGTATTCTGCAAATATAGTAGAAAGATAGTAAAAACGTCAGCCTGATACATTTCTGACAAGAACTGCTGCCTGTTGTTTTATGTGGCTAAAAAATTTAGTTTGTGTGTTCATTTTTGTATTCCCTTTATGAAAACCAGAGAAGGCGGGAACAGGAGATGCAACGGCATCTTCCATTTGCCTGTTGAATTGCATGTTCGTGTTTGTTCCTGGAAACCTCAAAACGCTGTACTTTGAACACGCCACTTTGCCTTTACAGTGTGTCACCAGAAGATAAGAGAATAAAACTGAAGTTCCCGTCCCTGGCTGAACAAAGCTGGGATTGCAAGACCTTTTCTCCGAGTAAATATTAGCCAGCTGTTTGAAGACACACTGTCTATGGAGAATATTAATTATGTACCAGGAATCAAGCCACAATGTATACCCAGTATATTTAGCAAAACCGGAACACGCTGTTCTGCTGCGAGGGGAAAAAAATGTGGGGGTGGGGAAATCTAGCTCCTCCTCCAAAGTCCGTGTTTGTAAGTTAGAATGCTCGTTCCTATTAATTACAGGAGCAAAGCCAATAATAGAAACAAAGCAGCCTTGATGAGGATACCGTGGGGTGCAAGGCCACCCTGAAAACCGGGTTTGCTGTTCAGGAAAGGACCGAGCCTGGTGTGAGGCGGAGCAGTTTGCTGCCCCCGCAGCGCAGAGCCCTCCTGAGAGCGAGCACAAAAATGAGCAGATCTCATGTTTTAGTGTAATATTACTTTGCCTTTTATAATTATAAAGGTTGCCTTTGCCAGTCTTCACGTGAAGCCAGCGGCGCCTCACCAGGCTGGTGGTGGGAAGAAGCCGTGTGCCGGTGAATCGCGGGAACACGCCGTGCTCTAAGCCATTCCTCAGCCAGCTCATTAGGAGTGGCACGGGAATACCCATTGAGTCTGTCCTCGGGCTCTTCAACGAAAAAAGTTGATCGTTATTGCGGAATTGTTTATTATTTGTGTTGTTAATTACAGGAATTGTGTTGTACCAGCAGAGTGTGGGTTTCTCTATGCCTACAAAAGCACACTTCATCCATGTGTTCTTGAACCTCCTATCAAAAGCAGAGCTTTGCTGAAAAGCATCACCTAGAAATGCCTCTGGTGCAGCTGTATTCCACTGCTTCTTATCACAGATGACATAGCTGTCAGATAAAGTTTGGATATTTGGGTCATTTGAGGGTTTTTTATAGATGCAGCAATGGGTTTTGCTGGCATAAAACCTGCTAAAAAGCCTCTAAACTAGACCCACTATAGCACAATGACTTGAGAATCACCAGCAATGGGTGATTAAGGAAGTTTTGCTGGATAGCCGTGAAATTTTTGTACTACATAAGAAAACATATCAAGGTAAAACACCTTCCAAGAACTTATTACATTCCAAAACATTTATAGTTGAGAATGGTCATGCTTGTGTTTACATCCTTATGAGATAAATTTTTGTAGGAAGTTTTAAAATTTTTCTTTAAAGTGTTTCATAGCTATACAAGGATTGGAGCGGGTGGGGGGAAAAGGATCTCTAGGCATCCAAAAATGTTCTTGCTGCTTTTCATTCTGGAAAAGTGAAAAGAAAAAAAAAAAAAAAAACAACTAATTGAAAATGCATCCTTTTTTCCATGTCTGGAAGAGGAAAACAGACACTAGAGAAACAAACACAGTGTCGATTTTAAAATATTGGTTTAATGAGATGCAAATTACCCTTCCGTGTGTGAGCTGAAGCCCTTTGTTCTCCAGCCGAGATTCTCTTAAGGAAGCAGGCTGGGTTTCTCGTGTTTCTCGGTGGGCTTCCCAGAGGCTGGGGGTGCAAAGCTTTACACTCTCCTCAAGCTTCAAGCATCTCTGCTGTCATCAGCCTCGCACTCTCCAGCAGCTGATTTCTGCAACAGCCTTGGCTAGAAAGTTTGCCGATGTAGCTGCAGTAGAAGACCCGGTAAACCCTCCTAGGGACAGGATCCAGTTTAAATTGCTTTAATGATTATCTCTTGCTTATACCAGAACTGCAAAGAGTGTTTTGCTGTTGAAACCACACCTGTGGGTTTTTGCTGGCAAAGCTGTATTGATTGGTGAGTGTTGTTACATCCTGCTGTTGCTAAATCAGCAAAACTTTTAAATATAAACAAAATCCCTGTCATCTGCCAGCCAGATTACTCCTTGCCCAGGTTACACAGGTGTCAGGTAGCCTCCCTCACTTTTATTCACCTTTAGAGTTGTACCTTGGTGACCTCTGTCTGAATAACCACAAGCTTTTTCTAACTGGATTATCTCGTGTTTAAAGCTAAGCACCTGGGTTGTTCTGAATGTGGAGAGCCTAGTTTTGTTCATAAGGTCAAAATGTAGGAAATGCTGGAATTACAGATCTGTGGAAGCACAAAAGTTGCAGTTTACTTTTCTGGTGAGTACAGCTGAGTTGGAGATGAAGGAACCAGCTACTAACATTTCTTTACTTTCAAAATTCTGGGTATTGTAATTTTTCTAATATGTTAGCCTCAGGAAATCTATATTTAGTAAAAGATCATTTGCTGGGTTGATAATTAGGAAAAATTCAAATACAGACATAGTGAAAAATATGTTTAGTATGTCTAGACAAATGTACCAACCTGTATTGCCTTTCAAAGCTCTGCAAGATAGTGCTGGCAGCTTGTAATCTGTGTAAGATTTTCAATGGGTTCATCTTTACAGGAAAGCAGACAGACCTCAAACAGCAATGAGCCAAGATCAAAGGCTAAGGATAGAAAGGAAAGAAACTCTTAAATCCATGTATTCCTGTCGTTCTCAATCTATACTAAATACCATGGCAATTAAAAGATCTCTGAAATATTTTGGACAGTATTATCAAACTCAGTACTTGGTATGTGGACATAGTGCCCAAAGATGTGACAGTAACTCTTGTGAAGCACATCCTTATTTACACTGACTTTAACTATGTGGGCTACCACTAAAAACCTCACCACAGCACCTTTTTTTCCTTGTGCTCCTGGTGCTAAAGACTTGCTGCCTCCCCAGGAAGGTTTGTGTAACCTTTGGAAACCCCATGTTGTGACAGCTAGGTTGTTACTGGTACCCAAGTTGACATGCCACCAGCTCACCTTCTGAAATGACATCTTCGTGGGTCTTGGGAGACTGGAGGACTCAAAACCCAGATATATTTTACTCTGGCACATCTGTGTCATCTTCAGTTACCCAGAGAGATATTTATTACTGTTCTGTGTTAGCTGGGTGACATTTTGCTGGGCAAGGTTCTGGGTTGCTACAGAAACTGTCTCTGCAGATCCATTCAATCAAGCACGGCTCTAGTGACAAGACTCATGCTTTCAGCAAGAACATAAATAATTCACATTTTTGCTGGCCAGCTCTCCATGCCTTCCATACAAACAGGCTGGGAGCTCCAAGGAAAGGAAAGCAGCTACAATTATCTGGAACTTTAAATCTAGAGATTTAAAGGCATGTTTACTAAAGTAGACTATATTTTGGAAGCATTTTTCTTTAGAGACTAATTTTTTTTTTTTTTTCTTGAGAAGGGCAACTCCAGCATGTCTCTCTGTCTGTTGTTTTTTGGAAAGAGAATGAGCTGGTTTAATAAACCTGCTCCTGTCACATGGCATCACACTCCCCCAGCTATCCCTCGTGCAGCACAGCTGCCAAGGAGGCAGCTGTAGAGATAGAGCACGCAGTCACCTAACACCATGGAATTAACATGGGAAGGATTCCCTGGTGTTTCAGGTCTGCCTGGCTCTCTCTGCCCTCGAGCAGCCATTGGCACAGGCAGCACTGGGTACCCGTAGCAGTGAGGGACTCACGATGCTAAAAGGCTCTGTTTACACAGGGCACTGCAAGTGCTCATTGAAACTTGGCATCACGCTGGAGAACTGAAATGCTGTTTCTGCACACATATTCAAGAGGATTCCCTCTGCACAAGTTGTAAATCCCTGTCACTCCAACTTCTTCCATCTATGCAAAGTATTTAATC